TTTCCGTGCATACCCCGCTACCCCACTGCCTAGATTCTCCCCTTCACATTCCAGCACTTTCGTTTTATGGGGCATCTGCTCATTAATCCATCTCGTTTTACGTTTTCCAAATGAAACTGCAGACATCGGTGCAATTCAGCTTGCAAATTGTTAGAGTTTATATTATTTTTTTGAGACGGAGTTTCGCTCTCGTTGCCCAGGCTGGAGTCCAATGGCATGATCTCAGCTCACCACAACCTCCACCTCCCGGGTTCAAGCAATTTTCCTGCCTCAGCCTCCCAAGTAGCTGGGATTACAGATGCACACCACCATACCTGGCTAATTTTGTATTTTTAGAAGAGATGGGGTTTCACCATGTTGACCAGGCTGGCCTCAAACTTCCTACCTCAGGTAATCTGCCTGCCTTGGTCTGCCAAAGTGCTGGGATTACAGGTGTGAGCCACCGTGCCAAGTTGTGTATTTCATGTTTTAGTCTCTCTGTCACCCAGGCTAGAGGACAGTGGCATCATTATATCGCACTGCAGCCTCCACCTCCTGGGCTCAAGGGATCCTCCAGCCTCAGCCTCCTGAGTAGCAAGAACTACAGGAGTGCAACACCATGACTAGACGACTTTAAATTAACTTTTTTCTTTTTTAAAAGACAGGGTCTCATTCTGTCACTCAGGGGGAAGTGCAGTGGCCGTTTTGGTTCACTGCAACCTCAACCTCCGGAGCTCATGTGATCCTCCCACCTCAGCCTCCTGAGTAGCTGGGACTACAAGTGTGCACCACCATGCCCACCTACTTTTTTCTATCTTTTGTAGAAACCAATGGGGTTTTGCCATGTTGCCTAGGCTGGTCTCAAACTCCTGGGCTCAAGCAATCCACCTTCCTCAGCCTCCCAGGAAGTGCTGGGATTACAAGCGTGAGCCACTGCACCGGCCTAAAACCTTTTTTTATAGCGATGGAGTCTCGCTATGTTGCCCAGGTTGATCTCCAGTTCATGGTCTCAAGCAATCCTCCTGCCTAGGCCGCCCAAAGTGATGGGATTACAGGAGTGAGCCAGTAGTTTTAAGGCTTTTGACATAAAACTCAGACGCGAAATGCCATTTCCGTGCAGAGACCCACAAACACCTTTGCTGTGGATTCCCCATTTCACACACTGGAATGGACGCATCCCCCCAGGCAATTAAATACCAAGGACTTCCTGAGGACGCTAGGGCTCAGAGTTTGTCCTTGAGTAACTGTGACCACCCTCACCCTCAGGTATCCAGGAATGGGACAGATGCCCCGATGGCAGTCTCCTGCCCATTTCCAGTTCCTTCAGTCACCCCAGAGCAGTGTCACTGGGTCAGAGGCCACCCTCCTTAGCAGATGGCTTTTTTTTCTTCTTCTTCTGAGACAGAGTTTCACTCTTGTCACACAGGCTGGAGTACAGTGGTATGATCTTGGCTCATTACAACCTCCGCCTCCTGGGTTTAAGTGTTTCTCCTGCCTCAGCCTCCCAGGTAGCTGGGATTACAGGCATGCACCACTACACTCGGCTGATTTTGTATTTTCAGTAGAGACAGGGTTTCTCCATGTTGGTCAGGTTGGTTCCGAACTCTTGATAGATGATCCGTCCCCCTCAGCCTCCCAAAGTGCTAGGATTACAGGCATGAGCCACCTGCGCCTGGCCATCCATTTCTTTTATAAACTGCCTGCTCAGCCAGGCGCGGTGGCTCACGCCTGTAATCCCAGCACTCTGGGAAGCTGAGGCAGGCAGATCATGAGGTCAAGAGATCGAGACCAGCCAGGCCAACATGGTGAAACCCCATCTCTACTAAAAAATACAAAAATTAGCTGGGCGTGGTGGCACGAGCCTGCAGTTCTGGCTACTCGGGAGGCTTAAGTGGGAGAATCACTTGAGCCCAGGAGGTCAAGGCTGCAGGGAGCCAAGAAGCCAGGACTGCATCACTGCACTGTGGCCTGGGCAATCCTACCTCAAAAAGAAAAGAGAGATATTCAACCTCACTGGTAACCAGGCATAATCAAATAAAAACAGTGAGATCACACAGAAGAAAAGTTACACAGAGACAGGCCAGCTCCTCCTTCACTCCCGGGGAGTAAACATCAGCACCGCCCATGTGGAGAGCAATTGGGTTGAATCCATCAAATGACCTGTTACAGACATGTGTACCCTTCAGACCAGAGATTCATTTCCAGACACTTATCTACAGATGCGTGTGAGAAGGCACGTGGACAAAGACACTGTTTCGGGTTCATTAGGAGGAGCCTCACAGGCCTGGTTAAGTAACACAAGGCACGCCCATTTAACGGGAATCCACACAGCCACAAAACAGCTCTGTACAGACACAAAATGCAGACAGCAAGCTGCAGAAGCATGCATGGTGTGATCCTAAGACACAGAGAAAACCAATTCTATCCTCACAAGAACATGCGTGAAATTTATGTTCGTTTTTTCGGGAGGTGAGGGGTCGAGACAGGGTCTTGCTTTGTCATCCGGGATAGAGTACAGCGGCACAACCTCAGCTCACGACAGCCTCCACCTCCCAGGCTCAGGCGATTTTCCTGCCTCAGCCTCCTCAGGAGCTGAAACTACAGGTGCACACTACCATGCCCAGCTAATCAATTATGTAATTTATTTTTCGAGACGGAGTTTCACTCTTGTTGCCCAGGCTGGAGTGCAGTGGCACAATCTCGGCTCACTGCAACATCCACCTCCCAAGTTCAAGCGATTCTCCTGCCTCAGTCCAGCACCTGGGATTACAGGCATGTGCCACCACATCCAGCAACTTTTGTATTTTTTGTCAGGGTTTCTTCATGTTGGTCAGGCTGGTCTTGAACTCCCAACCTCAAGTGATCCGCCCACCTGAGCCTCCCAAAGTGCTGGGATTACAGGTGAGAGCCGCCATGCCCAGCCTGATTATGTGATTTAATAGAATCACACATGGAGCATCACCACTCACAGAACCCTGCAGCCACTGCCTGGCAGGCACCTCCACAACAGGGCTGTGGATGCAACTGGAGGGCAAAGGTCACCAGTGACACACATGTTCTGACGATGATTTATAGTGAGAAAAAGTTCGTTTCTTGTAGAACAGAGATTTTTAAAACATGTTTTTAAAATAGGCATGGAATGGGGGAAAATGACATCATTTCATGTGCCTCAGTTTCCTCACCTGTTACTTGGGTTTTTGACACAAGTCTTCCTCTGTCACCCAGGCTGGAGTGCAGTGACATGATCATGGCTCACTGCAGCCTCTGCCTCCTGGGCTCAGTGATCCTCCCACCTCAGCCTCCCCAGTAGCTGGGACCGTAGGTGTCTACCACCACACCCGGCTAATTTTTGGTAGAGACACGGTCTATGTTGCCCAGGTTGGACTCAAGCGATCTGCCCGCCTGAGCCTCCAAACTGCTGGGATTACAGGCGGGAGCCACTGTGCCCGGCCTTGTTCCCTCACCTTTAAAACAGGAAAAAGCACAGCCCTCCTCAGTTGGGCTGCTGTTGAGACTTGAACCTGCTTAAACCTGTTAGCAGGTGCTCAGCGGAGGTCAGCTGCTGCCACTCCTACTGTCACTGTGTCCAGAGCAGCTATGTCACCTGCAGCAGAACTGGGCTATTATCCAAGCTGGAATCCAGTGGGGGAACCTCTGCCTCACCTCCCACCTCTGGTCAGGCTCCAAGCCCTGCACCCTCTGCTTGTTGGCATTTTAGGATCTGCCTTGGATCAGAAGGGCTGCCAACCTTACTGCCATTGGAGAGGGCAAAATCCAGTCAGCTGAGGACCCCTTCAGACACAACCTGGAACCTCAGCAGGCTCTGGTGGTGAGTTCTGGACCCAATGCTTGTGCATCACAGGGGTGGGGGGATGCACAGTCTGCGCCTGGGAGCAGCTGCCCACAGGAGGCACACAAGCCACACCAGAAGCCCGCTGAGCGGCTAGAACGGATTTTATTGAAGGGTGAGGCTCCGGCATCTGCTGGCAGCTACAACCTGGGGACGGAGGAGAGGGGCTGAGGGCGGGTGAGAGGGTGCCCCATGCCCCCTACCCACCTAACACTCCCTGCCTTTCAATTATCCTTTAGGGACCCTCCAGCCCCCCAGCTCTAGTTTCAGGCCCTCTTCTGAGCATGGCCAAGGGGGTGTGACACAGACACTGGCCATACTTTGGGAGGGGCCCGGGCCTCAGTGGGCACCTTGGGGCGGGAGACGGCTCCCTCCCTTGTGCTGAAGCTAGGTGGACTCACTGGATCTCTCGGAACGCCCGCTTCTCCACCAGCTTCACCTTGTACTTTCGCTTGAACCTGGAGAGGGACAGTGGAGCAATCAGTGCCCGGGGCCAATTCGAGACACCCCCACAGCAGCCCTAGGCGCCCCTCCCCCCACAGCAGCCCCAAGCGCCCCTCACTTGGCTCTCTCTCGAGGCTCGATCATATTTCTCCTCTGGAAGCTCTTGAACCGGTCTCGAAGGATGTTGCCCTCGGGCTATGGAACAGAGACGGAGGTCTCAGCAGGGCCTGAGACCTCTCCTCGGGGTCCAGGCAGGGCTCAGCCCCAGGCAGTCTCCCCAGGGCAGCCTGGTGGGTGCCAGGGATTCAGCCTGGCCCTCAGCTGCTGAGGGTCAGCGTGGGACGGCAGCCATTAACCCACGTCCCAAGTCTGAACTGGGCTTGGAGGAGTCACGGGAAGGGGGCTGGTGAGGACAGAGAAAAGGGGACAGCAGGGGCAAAAGCCAGGTCAGAGGGAGAAGGTGCAGTCACTCATGAGCACAGCTGGCCAGAGCCCTATGGCCGGGCCAGGCCAGGCATGTGGCTGGGCTTCCTCAGGGGAACTGGGGAGCCACAGCAGGTTCTGAGCAGGGGAGGGACAGGGTTGGTTCTGAGCTTCAGGAAGGGCCCTCTGCTCCTAAAGCTGACGGGGATGGCAACAGGGACCAGCAGGGAGGAAACGCCTTCTTAGGGTCCCAGACTGGAACCCTAGCCTGGCCCTCACCCTGGGATCCCACCCCAGTACCCCGTGCCCTCAGCCCCCCAGGCATCAGCCCCACTGGCCCAGCCCGGGGGCAGCCATGGTGTCGCCCACAGCCCCTAGTGGGGCACGGGGAGCAAGGATGGTGTCATCACTGGGCACGGGGGCCCATGGTGGTACGGAGCTCACACCTTCAAGGTCCTGAGCGAGTCGGTCAGCTCCGAGCTGAGCTGCACGTCAATGTCGGGTGCCTGGTACCTGCAGAACGGGGCGGGGGTTCAGAAATACCACCCTCGAGGGTCCATGACACCCAGTCCGAAGCCCCATCCTGGAGAAGAAGGGGCCTCAGAACGTGGGGTTTTTTCAGGGAAGAGATGGTCTCCCAGCCGGGGCAGTTCCTGAACACAGGCAGGAAGAGGACCCCCCCCCAGCCTCTCCCGTTTTCCCCGGCGTGGTTCTCACTTGAGACGCCCCAGCCTTCGGGGCTTGTCAGCCTCAGCCTCCCGCCGTGCCTGCCGCTGCCTCCTCCGCCTCGCCAGCTCCGCCAGCCTCAGGGCCACCTGAGCCTTGATCCCGCGCAGCCGGAACAGCTCCTGGTGCCGCAGCCGGGCGGCCCGCAACACCGCCTGCTGTGCCCGCTGTGGAGTCGGGCAGGGTCAGAGCCCAGGTGAGTGCTGCCCGCCCACGGAGGCCTCCCCTCTACACAGGGAACCCTCCCCCACAAACCTGCCTCCCCAGGAGGCCCTTCCCCACCCCGTCCCCGTCACATCAGCGGCCTTCCCAGCAGCTGTTTGCTGAAACCCCCTTCGTCATCCATCTCCTCCGGTGTTCAGTGCAGAAACCTCCCCCCACCCTGCTCCTCAAACACAAGTGCCAGGGACCCCTGTCCCACCCCCGCCCAGAGCCCTGCCTGGAGGAGGCTGGAAAATGGGTCTCAGCTGTGAGGATCCCAAACAGCTCAAACCACGGGCCACACTTGGGCTTGGGCCGGCAGGCTGCTGCAGCACCCAGGACAGTCCTTGGGTGGGAGGGAGGAAGGGGCGAGGAATCAGAGGCCGGCCCCACCGGCCCAGGTGCTCACCAGCCTGCGTGCGGCCTTCTCCCGCCGCCGCTGCTGCTCCGTCTTCTTCTCAGTGGCAGCCAGGCGGGCGGGCGTGGGACACACATCAGCATCCCCAGCCTCCGGCTCCTTGCCCTGGCCCTGGCCCGGCTCCCCCTCACCATCCGACTCCTCCAGCAGCCCCTCACACAGCTCTTGGAATGTGGACTCCTGGGAGGCGGGAAGAAGGGAGCAGTGTCAGGGGCAGGTGGGAGGCCCAGGGAGGGAGCAGGCAGGTGCGGGGCTCACCTGGGTGGCAGCCTGCTCCGCGGCGGGCAGGGCCAGCTGCCGCTCCAGCTTCTCCGCCTCCTTCTGCCGCTGCAACTCCACCTCGTGGGCCGCTGAGAGCAGGGTCTGCGAGGGACGGGAGGCAGGAAGTGAGGACCAGTCCCTGGACCTCTCCTGGGACTCTTGAGACTAGACCCTCTTACCTCCCATCTGTCCCTCACCCACTGACCACAGATGCTGCCCTGGCTAGGCTCCCCCAGGGGTCTACCAGCACACCCACCCTGCAGAGCCGGATGGCACCTCAAACCCTCGCCCTCACACCTGCTCTGCGCATCTGTGAAGAAGGTCTGGCCTGTATGTTCATAGTTTCTTTTTTTGTTGTTTTTTGAGTCAGTCTCAAACCATCACCCAGGCTGGAGTGCAGTGGCGCGATCTCAGCTCACCGCAACCTCCACCTCCCGGGTTCAAGCGATTCTCCCGCCTCAGCCTCCTGAGTAGCTGGGACTACAGGCGCCTGCCACCACACCCACCAAATTCTTTTTTGTATTTTTAGTAGAGATGGAGTTTTTCACCATGTTGGTCAGGCTGGTCTCAAACTCCTGACCTCAAATGATCCGCCCACCTCAGCTTCCCAAAGTGCTGGGATTCCAGGCGTGAGCCACCGTGCCCAGCCAAGAGAGGGGTTTTTGTCCCCTCTGTCCACAGCACTGTGCCAACACACGCCTGCTAAATGCACAGCGGCTGAGCCAGGCTTCCCCATCGCTGAGCCGGCCTCGACCTTGAATAACCGTCACCTGGTTGCCAGTTGGCCACCCTGTCACCACAGCCTTTTGCATTTCTGTCACACAGACCTCCTGGAGGGCGCCACGGCCTCACTCACCTCCGTGCCTTTGCACATACTGTTCCCACCACCTGGAAAACCCACTGCCCTCCTCCCACTGCAAACCGCTCCTCAGCCACTGCCTCAGCTCAGGCGTCCCCTCCTCCAGGGAGCTCTTCCTGACCCCTCAGGCTGGGCCAGGTGCCCCTTCTGAGCTCACAGCCACTCTGGTGATCACTGTGTGGGAACAGGTCTGTCTCCTGCACTGGACGGTGAGCCCCGTGAGGATAGGCCCAGACTGTCTTGGTCCCTCTGAAGTTCCCAGCACGACCCAGCACAGAGAGGGAGCTGGCGAAGGCGTGGCTGAGAGGCCGGGTAGCATGTACCTGGTGGTCTTCAAAGGACGGGTTGTAGGACGCTCCGGCAGGCACCACCTCCACAGCAGGGACCCGGGACGGCTTGGTGTGCAGGCGCGGTGGCCGCTGCGAAGACAAGGCCGGCAGGGTGGGGCCACACGAGCTCAGAAGGTCCCCAGGCTCTAAGCACTTGGGCTGTAACACCCAGGCTGCAGCAGCTCAAGACAGAAGGAGACTGCAAATCCAAACTCAAACCCAAGACCCTGCCACCATTCACCCGCTCCTCCTCCTCAGACTCCTCCCCACTCACCCACTCCTCCTCAGACTCCTCCCTCACTCACCCGCTCCTCCTCCTCAGACTCCTCCCTCACTCACCCGCTCCTTCTCCTCAGACTCCTCCCTCACTCACCCGCTCCTCCTCCTCAGACTCCTCCCTCACTCACCCGCTCCTCCTCCTCAGACTCCTCCCTCACTCACCCGCTCCTCCTCCTCAGACTCCTCCCTCACTCACCCACTCCTCCTCGGACTCCTCCCCCACTCACCCACTCCTCCTCCTCAGACTCCTCCCTCACTCACCCGCTCCTCCTCAGACTCCTCCCTCACTCACCCGCTCCTCCTCAGACTCCTCCCTCACTCACCCGCTCCTCCTCAGACTCCTCCCTCACTCACCCACTCCTCCTCGGACTCCTCCCCCACTCACCCGCTCCTCCTCCTCAGACTCCTCCCTCACTCACCCGCTCCTCCTCGGACTCCTCCCCCACTCACCCGCTCCTCCTCCTCAGACTCCTCCCTCACTCACCCGCTCCTCCTCGGACTCCTCCCCCACTCACCCGTTCCTCCTCCTCAGACTCCTCCCCCACTCACCCATTCCTTCTCCTCAGACTCCTCCCTCACTCACCCGCTCCTCCTCGGACTCCTCCCCCACTCACCCGTTCCTCCTCCTCAGACTCCTCCCTCACTCACCCACTCCTTCTCCTCAGACTCCTCCCCACTTACCCGCTCCTCCTCCTCACAGACTCCTCCCCCACTCACCCGCTCCTCCTCCTCACAGACGTCACCCCCGCTCGCCCGCTCCTCCTTCTCAGGCACTACCTCTTTAAACTCTCCCAACAGGCCCATGATCTAAGTACTATTTATTTCGTTTTATCTTTTTTACTTTTTGTTTCTTTTGAGACGAAGCCTCAATCTTGTTGCCCAGGCTGGAGTGCAATTGTGCGATCTTGGCTCACTGCAACTTCCACCTCCCAGATTCAAGTCATTCTCCTGCCTCAGCCTCCCTAGTGGCTGGGATTGCAGGCACCACATCCAGCTATTTTTTTGCATTTTTAGTAGAGACAGGGTTTCACCATGTTGGCCAGGCTGGTCTCAAACTCCTGACCGCAGGTCATCCACCTGCCTCGGCCTCCCAAAGTGCTGGTATTACAGGCGTGAGCCACCGCACCCAGCCCTCGTCTGCATTTTAAGAGGAAGATACAGGGCACAGAGAAGTTAGACCACCTTCCCAGAATCAGCCGGCACTGGAGCTGGGACAGGAATCCCAGCCATCTGGCTCCAGTACAGGCTTCCCAGCCACTGGGATGGAAGGGTTCCGAGACTGAGACTCCACTGTCGGAACCCAGAGCAGCCCCTGGCCCTCCTCGCCCTCCCGTCCCCAAGGACGCCCTTCCCACACGTCTCACCTTCACTCCCTTCTTCTTGGTCTGCTCCAGGAAAAACTCATCCTGGCCAACCAGCGGCCTGTCCAAGGGGTCTGTGGACACAGCAAGGGAAGCTGGGGGGCATTCCCAGCATGGAAGAGGCCCCAAAGGGCTCCCCACAATGCCTCCCCATTTCAAAAAGGTGACACTGAAGTTCTGGGGAGGGAAGGACTGATTTTCAGACCCCAAGGAGCCTTGACCACCAGGACAAATCTGTGTCTGGATGTGTTCAGAAAGTGGAGAAGGCCGAGGCTGAAGGCAGGGGCCTCACGGCTCAGGGAAGGAAAAGATGAGTGAAAAACGGCCGCCCCCTCAGAATGTTCAACTCTGCTGGGAGGTCACCAAAACACCCACAGAGCACCCCCCTGCACACTGTACTCTGGTGCAGTGCACAACACACACAACTGCACATGGCAGTCCTGTCAGCAGGATCACTCACTGTCTGGGGCCCAGAGGTCGTAGAAGGGCCGCTCCACAGTATCCTGGGGACTGGGCTTGGCCTTGACTGCGGGAGGGTTGAGGAGTCGGGCCTGGGCCCTGCGCACCTCCCGAGGCAGCTCGCCCTGCTTGGCCAGCTTCTCCCATAGCTGCTCCTTCCGCCTGAGCTTCTTGGCGTTGGGGACCTGGTGGGCAAGGACGCTGGTCGGAGAGAGGTGACACAAGTACAGGGGGTGAGGTGGTGGCCTGAGCAGCAGCCAAGCATCTACCCTGGCGGGCTTCCTCCACCATTCAGGCAGCTCCCCCTCCCAACACGCCCTCTCCAAAAGGCGGCGCTCTGCCTCCTCTTCAGAGAACCCCTCTCCCCATGTCTGTCTCCAGCCTAGGCCCCCACTCTGCGCCCCAGACTCAATGAAGCAATGCCCTGTACAGGACACCTCCCACCAACATGTCAAAACCAACCTCAGCATCACCCGAAATCCCTCCTCCTCCACATCCCCATCTCAGGGCAAGCCCAGCTGTC